CTGTTGTCTATCCTGAACCATTGTCCTTTCCTCCAAATAGTGTTACAGGTCTGAATTATGTCCCTACTAATTCTTAAAATCCTCCTCTGCCTCCTGTTCCCCCTTGAAGCATGAAGGAAAGAAGAGATCATTTTGCAACGCTCTAAATTTTCATTTTTCTTTCTAGGTCAAGCTGGATCAAAAAGCCACCATATGGCCATTGCTTTTGGCGTGAGTTTTGGTGCTGCATTTTTAGTCATAATAGTCATTGGGCTGCTTGTTTGGCGGCGATATCGCCATAATCAGCAGATTTTCTTTGACGTTAATGGTAATGGTTAGTTTAACCTTAGACCATGCTCAAGTTCTTTGTATGTTCTGACACATCGTGTATTGCACACCTTCATAACGCATGGATATACCAGATTCATATGTTTCGTTTTTCATTTTTGGTGTTTGGTACCCTATGCTGCAACTCATGCGCATCATAAATTTTACATTTCAAGGAAGTGTATGTTCCGTGATTAATTATTAATATCTTTCAGAAAGAATTGATGTATTTAGCATCTTTCTAGACTAAGTACTGGGTGTGGATTAGTTTATTAAAGCATTAGGGCACTCGGGCAAATTTATGCATCCAACCACAGTGATCACTCACAGTAAAAAGTACACCATTAGGAAGTAAATAATTTAGCATAGCATTCCTCTTTGTTGTTTTAATTCAGCTCCCTAGGAAAATTCCTTATCCTTGTGAACTTGTTGTCGCCAATCTGCATTCTGAGTTTGACCTGTTAATTACCATGGCAGATCAATATGATCCAGAGGTTTGTTTAGGTCACCTGCGAAGGTATACATTCAAGGAACTTCGGGCTGCTACAGACCATTTTTCCTCGAAGAATATATTGGGCCGGGGAGGATTTGGGATTGTCTACAAAGGCCGGTTAAATGATAGCAGTGTGGTTGCTGTCAAAAGATTAAAGGACTACAATGCTCTTGGTGGTGAAATACAATTTCAGACAGAAGTTGAGACAATCAGTTTGGCAGTCCACCGGAATCTTCTCCGTCTTTCGGGTTTCTGTTCAACTGAAAATGAACGGCTTCTTGTTTATCCATACATGCCCAATGGGAGTGTAGCATCTAGATTAAAAGGTTAGCTGAATCTTTTGCTTTAACTATGGTGGTTGTACTGTAAAGGCCGTTCACAAATTTTCCAGCGATATAACTAATGGATTTTACTTGATGGCTTTCATTTCTGACGTCATGCCATCCTAAGCACTTCAACTACCATAGATAACAGAAGATTGACATGATGTACCAGTAAATGAGCTAGTTACATCCCCAGAAATATTTAAAAGGAAAGCTGTTATTACAATGGTCTTTACTCAATTCAACTGGATTAATATCGTATGGTTGATTAGCTCCTGTAATTGGAAAATGCCCAGATTATCAAATGATTGGTCCTTTGAATGATATACTTTGCCAAGTATTTGGCTTTTCCGGGCATTATACTGATACCGCATCCTCATCTTGGCAGATCATGTCCATGGTAGGCCTGTTCTAGACTGGTCGAGGCGGAAAAAGATTGCTTTAGGTACAGCAAGAGGGCTGGTGTATTTGCATGAGCAGTGTGACCCCAAAATTATTCATCGAGACGTCAAGGCTGCAAATATTCTGTTGGATGAAGACTTTGAGGCGGTTGTTGGAGATTTTGGGTTGGCAAAGCTCTTGGATCACCGGGAATCTCATGTAACCACTGCTGTCCGTGGCACTGTTGGTCATATTGCTCCTGAGTATCTGTCTACTGGCCAGTCATCAGAAAAGACTGATGTTTTTGGTTTTGGGATCTTACTTCTTGAGTTAATAACAGGCCAGAAGGCGTTGGATTTTGGGCGGGGAGCCAAGCAGAAAGGCATAATGCTTGACTGGGTAGTCTTTCTTTCTCTTCCAAGCTTGCATTGCACAAACTGCTTTTCTAAATGTCTTCAACTCGGGTTAAGTGAGTGCACACCAATGTGATCACTGTGTGTTTAAGTAAAGATATGATGCGTCTTGCAGATGTACCACTAAACAGATGATACTTGTTCCATCGACACAGGCTTTTGAGTTCTTCATCCCCATAGATTTTGTTCCCTAGCAAAGGCATTATTAAATTGAAACAATGGACAAGTAGATTGTTTGTGCAGCACCATGCTGTCTTTCAGTTGGAGTCCTTCACCTGTTTCTTTTGGTTACCTGTAGTTTCTTCAGGCGATAACTACTTCTGATGTCTGATATTCCACCGTTGCATTTCAGGTTAAGAAACTCCATCAAGATGCAAAGCTGGAGTTAATGGTGGACAAAGATTTGAAAAACGACTATGACAATGTCGAGTTGGAAGAAATGGTGCAAGTTGCGCTTTTGTGTACCGTATTTAATCCTTCCAACAGGCCGAAAATGTCTGAAGTGTTGAGGATGTTGGAAGGCGATGGCTTAGCTGAAAAGTGGGAGGCATCACAAACAATTGAAACTCCAAGATTCCGAACGTTCGAACATATACCACAAAGGTATTCAGACTATATAGAAGAATCCTCACTCGTGGTCGAAGCAATGGAGCTTTCGGGTCCCAGATGACATTTGTGTCTCATTCTACCCTCCATTTACACGTTCTTTCTCTCTGTAAGTTGGGAGTGAAATGCTAAAATATATGATAGGTGTTGATAGCTGTTGAATGCGTATATTCATCTGTAAAAAGAAAGGAAAGCCTTGTATAATCATTTAAGTAGTGTCCAGAATATGAGCAATGAGTTGGGGTTGTAGAGCATTTGAAGTTGAAGAGATTTTCCTGATTTTTGTAGTTAGTCTTGGAATTGAAGAGTCGAGAACGAAATCTGATTCATATAACAGGCAACAAAAATCCTTGAATGAATAGAAATTAGTTGTCACTGTTCCAGTTTCATCTGGGATTGGGAAGCTAAGGATTATGGTCGAGTCAGCCAACTTGCTAAAAAAAAAGTCTAGATGATCGCCATAATTTCTCTCTCAAATTTCTTTTTAGTGTATATATGTTAGATAGTATAATTATTTCAAATAATATTTTGCCTGCATTATAAACATATTTTTTAATTTATTTTTTTTATTTTTAATTATTTTTTTATCTAATATACATCACGTCATAAAAAAATATTACAGTAATTATTTTAAATAATAATACTCTGTCCAAACAATACAAAGTATTGGTGTTGTCATTTTCTTTTTTTTTTTTTGGAAAAAATTAAAGAAAGATCAACAGGGTGCGATTTAAATACGTACACACCATTATGCTTCAAGCCCTCCTATTTGAGATTCAGGGTATCCCTTGAAAAAGAAAAAAAAAAAAAAACCAAAAATTGTGAAGGACTAAAGTGAGATTTTGGGAAAACTGAGGGGTTATTTTGGACAAGGACGCCCTATAAGACAGAGCACAGTATCATCCAGTGGGCGCTCACAGGTGGCTGTAGCGGGTGGCATATAGGCTACGTGTCACGATCACAGCCGCCGTCAGAACGGTGCCTGTCCTGCCGAGGAAAAAGTGCACGTGCTATATGCAGCAATACTAAGTTGCCAGGCTACTAGCACGCTAACTGCCACGCTCCCTATCGTCCGATTTGGCGCCAAATGACACCGCTTTTGATGCAGCAGTCATTTGACTAGGCCTGGTGATCTGACAAAACTGCCCCTCAACCTTTCCCCAATCACTTCTGGTGTCAAATTAGAATTCCCAAAAACGTATGCTGGGACACCGGAAGAAGATGGCTTCGTGATGCCTTGATTCCATTCCAGTGTGCATGCATACATGACGTATACTAGTATCAATCTTGTTATCAAATCAAATTAGCAAGAGACTCTTTAAGTAATATATTTTTATTATTTCAGAAAGGATCTGATCCGTGATGATGAACTCAAACTTTATATTATGAATAATATATATATATATATATATATATATATTTATTTATATATATAGCACCAGATGCGTTCTATGTACAGTGCATGAGTATAAGGTAGCTTATTAGATTCTGCTTATTAGTTCTTCTAGTTTAGTACTAATAAGACATCTTTTTAATTTCGTGTCTCGTCTTATTCAATTTGGTTTCCTTTATCTTTTCTTTTTTTAAAAAAAAAAAATAAAATAAGCACGGAAATATTGCACCATCACATCTTCAAGAGATTATAAGATTTACTAACAGAAAATTAAGTACATCAAAGGGGAATGAAGGTTGATTTAAGTGAAATTTGATTAACTTTATCATCTGATCTAGTTTAAAATTTTGTATAAAATATATGATTAAAATTTGTTAACAAATTCATGATTTTTAACGTTTTTTCATATACCAACAGCTAGAAATTCAGAAGTTGATGATGACCGTTGCCACTTTTCCTTTTTTGTTTTGTTTTGTTTTGGTATTAGATGATCATTACCCCTTCAATCGGACTTTAGATCTATCTCAGCGAACATGATTAAGGGATGAGTACAAAGATTAGACGATGGACCACCTCTAATTGATCTCCAAGATGATAAAGATTATCTTCTTCTTTTCCATTTTTTTTCCCAGTCCCTTCCTAGTCTTCTATTAGAGGTAAATTTTATGAATTTGAGACTCATTTTAGTCCCTTTCCTCTCATTAGAAGTACTAGGAGAGGTTCACCGCGCGAATGCGCGGTGGATAAAAGCCCAGTTATACCCACTTATTTTGCAAATTATTATGTAACAGGTGTAAATGAAAAAAAAATATTCAGAGTTGTATTCTTAGAAATTATATATAATTAGTTCAAAATTGTAAAAATATGAAATTCCAGAGATGAAAATTATTATACAATACCTTTACAAAGGCAAGAAAAACATGATTAGAACATACACAACTGGCCATTGATCCAATATACAAATTATATTGTGCTCTCCTCAAAATTTACAAATGAAATCTCATTCTTAAAAAGCATCAACAGTAACATACTTGCATTAATTAACATAATTAAAAACTCTTTCTCAACATATCTTGTCTTTTGAGTTTTTTAGGAAAGCGACCTCACAATTTCTGCACAACTTTAATGCTAGAGAGGTTTTACAGCATTATGGGATAAAGCCAATCAAAAGAACAATAAAATCCTCCAAAAAATATCAAGGATATACATCATAAAGAAACCTCATTTTTTCTTTTTCTTTTTCTTTTTTGGGTACATTGGAAGAGGTCATAATCTCTTAAATAGAAACAAAATGAGAATAAGCAACTGCTAACACATACGCTTCCAACAAATCTCGCATCTCTGCAGGGATGCCATCAAGAACTTGTAAACCCAATGGACCATAAATGCTGCACTTGGCCAATCAATTTGTATATTGATTGCATTCCCTCCAAATATGACTCAGCTAACAGCCCCAGCTCCTTTGCTTTAACTCTCATATCTGAATAAGAAGATTATGATCTGCTGAGTTCTGATACCTAAATTTTTGTCTAAAACTGCATGCAAGAAAAAGACCAATCAAATGGATCTACATATACCGTGCAATAGTAAGGGGCATAGATGACTGGTAAAATCCTTCACATCATGCAAGTCAATCTCACAACTATCATTTGGAGTAGTCCCATGCTGTTTCAAAAGATGCAAGCTAAATTGCTAAATGAAAATAAGAGGTTTGCCATATGCAAAAAACTCGTCAATGGTTTCCAAACAAAATTTACTCTCAGTTTCAACGTTATGTACAACTAAAAACTAACTAAATTTAAGTGCAAACATCTGCTCCAAAATCTAACTTGACAACTTTTCGTATAGGAGAGCAAAAGAATCAAGAAGATTTCTCAATAAAGCAGGACAAAAGGAAGTTTCTAAAAATTTTCAACTTAACTTTGATGCTCTTAGACCAAGGACAACAAAAAATTAGAACAATCCACTAAAATAAAATATAGAAGAAACTTTTCATGAAAGGGAGAGGAAGGAGAGAAAATATGAACGGCATTCAGAGGAGGAAGGGAGAAAAGAATATAGCAACAGAAGAAAGAATGAAGTAGAAGGGGAGACAACATTGGAAAAAAAAAAAACTGTCTAGAGCAAGCTATAACCTTGTAAGCAACTAAAAAGCAAAGATAAGATATGAAGTAATTTTCTTTTATACTGCACGCTGGCCAATATTTACAGCCTCAGAACCAGCTAGAATTTCTCAAATTCAAACAAGTCGGTATCTTATTATTTTCTTTATTAGTAAAAAGAAAACAAATAATATCATACTTTTCCATTCCAAACAAATTAATACAAGGTAGACCATAAAACTGCCAAGTAGTCTGAATTTTCATTATAAACCATGCGCCCAATATCGAATAGTAAAGCTACAAGTCAAAACACAACTGCATAAGCAAATGCCATAATGAGCTTCAAGAGAAACAGGAAAAAACTCACATGAGAAATTTACGAAGCACAGACAATTATCAGGTTGATACAATTTTGGAGAAAGTCAAGGAATGAAATTTGTGAAATCCTTGCTATCAATACATTTTTAAGGAATCCGATCAGACACATAATATTATGCAGTAATAATTAGCCTTTGAATTGCAGCAGCATTTTTAAGGGAAAACATGACTAACAAATTACCCTTTGAATTGCAGTAATAATTATAATTGTAATAACTACTCTATGCTCAATCGAAAATGCATTTTAAGCATCCAATCAAACTGTTAGTCCTCTTTTGCATCATTCATTTAGCAAAATATTTGATCTAAAAGCCTAGAGAATCAGCACAAACCACAAGGTGAGAAAACATATATATGTCTAGAAAAAATGAAGCAAGATTGATTGATCTCTTTCAACTATTTCTTCCTTTAGATAATTGTTTGCCTTTTCTTCAACATCCACAGCTTCTAGAAGAATAAGCTACATTATTTAAAAAAACCCTCAATATATGGCTATCAAAGACTATATTAGAATGATTGATAAATTCAGCATGGCAAATGATAGAACACGAGTATAATGCACATCAATTATGAGAAAAGATATCCACCTCAAGAGTACTTCAAACTAAACCTCCCAGCTTCATATATGATTCAGATGCATAACAATTCATGTTGAGAAGGCAATAGTTTTAAAAAAAGGAATTAGTAAAATTAACAATTTCAACACCCACCAGACACTTCGTGAAAACCACTAAATAGCACAAAAATCAGAAATTTGAAATTCAAAGTTAAGGTAATCTAGAAAGATGACCACAAAATAAAAAGAAAAGATGATAACCTGAAAAGCTACTCTTTTTCTCCTCCCTTTAGTATTTCCTTGTGATTTTCCTCAATCTATCAAATAGGCAGCAATCTAAGATTATGAGGAGCAGCAAAACTAAAGAAGCAAGCAAGAAATTAAAAACTTCAGAAATGAAAAGGAAGCAGAAACTTGAAGGTCCAATCTAGTGTAAAATTGGAAAAATGACATGGAAATAAATCAAAAAAAATTCACAACCTGAAAAGTTAAAATTTTTTCTCCTTTCAGTAGATATTCCTTCCATTTTTTCAAAATGTTTTCACATTTGTATACTATAACGTTGAGATACCAAGAACCATATATTACATACACTGAAAAAATGACTTCACCAATAATGACTAACCATAGAAAAAAGGGTTTTAAAGATCTGATTTGGTAAATTCACATACGAAATAAAAGCTCAAGTAAGATATTGTCAATAATATTAAAAAAACCCATAAAAGTATAAACTGACAATTATTAGATCAAACTTGGCTGTTTTGTCTTACAATTACTATGGGCAGAATAGACTGCTATTATAGGCAATGAACCACATCGTTCAATCGTCAGCTCTGCTTTACCCAACTTGCTCACACAAACACTTCTAGAACAAAGCCATGTAATTAAATGATAATGCTCAAAATGTAAAAACATTTGCTAAAAAATTGATTTTCTAGTTTTTGAAACATTAATGAGGTGTTATCAAGATTAAAATGCAAAGAAGAAAAGTAAGTTTGTAAAATCTACCCATTAAATTGGTGAAACAAATTGTGTAACCTAACCATACTATGATAATAACCAAAGTAATAGGCTCTTTGAAGAGCTAAGAGAGCCGGGAAAAAAAAGGAAGAACGGGCTAGAAAAGAAATTGCCCCAGTACAACTCATCATTCAAGAGTAGAAAGGCAAAGAAAATTATAAGGCACAACTATTCAATATGTTATTTTTAACTTTCACAAGCAAATGTACATGTATCAACCCCCTGGGAGTTTCTATTCTAGCTTCGTAACCTTCAATTGTTGAGGAATACAATCTATCAAATAAACAAAAGAACGCAATTAGGAGATAATCTAAATCCTATCAGCATATACATTTAAGAATCTAGGGAAGGGAAAAATTTCTCTTATTCAGGGGGAAAAACCCCGAAGAATACAAAATCAGTCTGTTTACCACCATGTGTGCATTATCTTCAATGAATGTCGCAGTGGTAGTTATTAAGTGGTGATTTTTTTTTGCATTGATAGTAAAGAAATTGCACATGAGCCACTGTAAATAAATCATTCTTTTCCATAGGGCCAATAATTACAATAAGAAAGCAAACTATGTACCAAAAGGTAAATACATCAATACATTGAAACTGCATATAAGCAAGCTAACAAATGAATTTCAAATCAAATATTAAATAATCTACAATAAATGAAAATTTCTTACTAAAAAATTCAGAGACTACAAAATTACAAGGATCTCATGGTAAAAGAAACATTAAGTAAACAACAGTACATCAAAAGACTAAACATACCTAATTAAGTAGAAAAAGGCTAAACATAGAACAAACTTAAGTAGCCTTAAAGCTATTGAGAATAATATAAGCAGCTTCCCTCCTATCACTATTAGCAATCAGCTTAACACAAAATACCTATTAAAGACACCAGATCAGTTTTGGATACTCAAAAAAACCCAAAAAGAAAAAAGAAAAAAACATTGCAATCATGGGTTCTGAACCAAGTATAATCCCTGCATACATAAAAATCTTTCCTTCTTGTACAGGATGATGGCACATAAACATTAAGAAACAATATGATTTTCCATTGAATGCCTTCTGCACAGAATGTTCGAGACAAATAAATGGAGGAAAAAGTAAAAATCTGGAACCCATACAACAAATTGAACAAAAGGTGAGATGGCCAAAAAAAAATAATCACTGTTAAGAGTATGGCCAAATATACACACTTTTGGCAAGTAACAGAATTTCTTGCACTGCACAAATGTAATTTGAGAGCAAGGACTTTTTGGAATTTGATACACCAGACATGGTAAGCTCAACCAAAAACTCAATATTGTACTGAAGCAAATTACAGCATAAAAACTTTTGGTTCCGCTGCAAAACTCAGACACCCATAAGGCATTTTAGCAATAACTGTTAACCACTCTTGTAAATGCAACTACACCACTCTATGCATACTCTAAATAAAAGTCACAACTACTGCAATGGAAAAGTAATGACAAAGACATCTATTCCAAGCACAATTCAAACAGGATCTCCCAGTACCATGTATAACATGGATGCATAACCATCCGTGTTAAGAAGGCAATAGTAAAGATAAAAGGCAAAACTAAGAAATAATACCTACAGCTACTTTGTGAACACCAATGAATAGAATATAACTTGAAAGCTGAATTTCAGGTGAGCTGCAAAGATAATTGGGGAAAAAAAAAGATCACAACCCAAAAAGTTAAATCTATCTCTTCTTGTGGATTTTTCTTGCGTTTTTCCTCAATCTACTAAACAGAAATCAAAATATGACATAAATGGAAAATAAGACTATTAGCAGCAGCAAAACTAAATAACTAAACAAGAAATTAAAACATATAATCTTCAATGGAAAAGCCAAAAAAAAAAAAAAAAAAAGAAGGAAGCAGAAACTTGAAGGTCCAGTTTAGCGTAAAATTAGAAAAATGGTTGGAAAATAAACTACAGAAAAATTCAAACCTTGAAAAGTTAAATCTTTTTTTCTTCCTCCCGTCGACTCTTCTTCCAGTTTTCCCTCAATTTATTAAAAGAAAAATGAGTTCCCTATCTGTCCAATAGACAGCAGAAATGAGATCGCTAACAGCAACAAAACTAAAGTACTAAGCAAGAGATCAGAAATTAGAAACTTTTCCTACAAAAAAAAACGGAAACAAAAATTTGAAGGCTAGAGTAAAATTGGAAAAAGACTGAAAAATAAATTAAAGAAAATCGCACAACCTGGAAAGTTGATTCTTTTTCTCCTTCTCGTGGACTTTCAATCCATTATCCGCAATCTATGAGAAGCAAAATGCGATTGTGAGTAACTGCAAATTCAAGAAAACAAAGAAAGAAACAAAAACTAAACAAAAAAACATCAATGTGCCTTATTTGTTTTTAATTTTTGTTGATTAACAAAGAAGAAAAGAAGAAAGAAAACATGTAGATGAATGATAGATCTGGTCATCGTTTGACAGAGAGGGAGAGCGAGAAAGGAAGAGTGTTCGTCTATCAAAGTTGAACAAAAGCAGAAGTTCTTGGAGGAAGAGATTAGCATCCTGGGAGAAGCTAAAGGTATAAGCTTACCTAATTCCTTCCTCGCACAGCATTTCTCAGTTCACTAAAAAAAATGGTCAAGGCCATTTCCGCTCCACCAGCTGGATTTGTGAACAATTTTTGGGAGTATTTACAAGGGGCGTTTGTTGCTGTCTTGATGAAGTACTCTGACAACTACCCACAACTTCAACCTTCAACTTTCTGTCCGAGGCAGAGAAAGTGAGATGGTAAGCAGGTAAACATCTGACATACTCCTTGGATGCAAAGCTTTACTTTGGAGACCGAGTACTACTTTTTCCTCTTTGGAGGCACAATGGAATCCAAAGTAAACTCACGTGAGGAGCACGGGCGACTTGGACGAACACTCTCTAGCCAATAACGATTGGCCACGTCACCAGCACAAGCACCTTTTTGAGCCAAGGCATTCGCTCTTTTATATATATGTTAATTACTCTAGAATTTCTGTCAAGGGTGGGACGAAAATTTCACCACTCTACGTCTCCACATTTTTCTCCGTCCGAGTAGCGGTTGGAAACCTTTTCCAAACGGTCATTAATCACTTTTCTTACCTCTGCATTTTCTTTTTCTTTTTGGTAATCGCTGCCAATTTGGTTTCGAGCGCACCAATTTCAGGGGGATTACCTCTGCATCTTTACTCACCGCTGTTTCAATGCTTCCTTACTTTTGCCTTTCTCGAAACCGCACAAGAATATCATCTTTCACTCCTTCGTAATTTACGAACACTTCTAATTTTCTGTACCGACATTTGATTTATCATAGTGCTAAGGACTCGTACTAAGATAAACAGCTACTTTATTGCCTAATTCATTGTTTGATGCGTTAGTTACATTCTAACAAAAGGGGTTCTCGTGGGATGGTTGATTTTTCAAGGATCAAAGACTATTTATATCTGATCATCAACAATGGACTGGAAAAAGATTGCATTTTTGGATCAGTTTCCTTGTTGGACAACATCTCCAAGAAGAAGAAAGGTAGTTTCTGGCTTCGGTTTAGGATTAGTGGCTTCAATGTTTGTATTAAGTGTTGTATCTTTTAATGTCTCGTCATTTATGGCTCCTTTAATAAACCCTGTTTTGAAAGGGTTCAATATTTTTGCATCCCGTAATTACAATACTACTAGCTGTATCCTTTCTTGGCCTGTCTATTTCTCAAGGACAACTTCTTGTTGTAATGCTAGTTCCTGTAATGGTACCATAATAACTAATAATGTGGAATATTTTATGGTTACCAATGGAACTCATGATAGAAATGTGTCTGAAAGTAGGAAATTTATTTATTCTGGTGGGAAAGGAGAGGTTTTGCAAAATGCCCATGTTGGAAATTTGTCTGAGAAGGTGAAAAATGGAAACTTGAGTGTTGAAGTTGAAGGAGGGAAGGCTCAAGATGAGTCCCTTGTGATAAATGGATCACTGGATGATAAAAACGGAAACTTCACTAATCTGGGTAACTTTTCCAACAATGTGGGAAATCAAAATGTTACTGCTGGAGGGCCGAACGCCAAAGAGCAAACTTCTTATCAGAATGCCGTTTCTGTAGAGCGTCCAAAAAGTGGGGGGGATGAGGTTCCTAAAGGTAGTATTCTTGGTAATCTGACGGTTAATAGAGAAAACGGTGTTACGCGAACTGGCAAAGAAGAGAAGTCTCCAGAGACAAACGACAGAGGAATATCGTCCAGGGAAAGTAACAGCATTAAAGGGATGATGAATTCTAACAGTTTGAATCGGAATTGTAACATCTATGATGGTAGATGGGTGAGAAATGACGCAAAGCCATACTACCCTCCTGGCTCTTGCCCGTACATTGATAGGGATTTTGATTGTTACCTTAACAAGAGGCCGGATGATAACTTTTTGAAGTGGAAATGGCAGCCATACAACTGTGACATCCCAAGGTAAATTTCATGAAACTCCTCTCTACAACATTGTGAAGTCATTTTCGACTGATTCAAAGTTAATTGTTAAAAAAAAAAATTTGCAGTTTGTACTTGGAGGAGAGTTGAAAATTTGATCTTTTTTTGTTTTTGGTGGGGTGGGGGGGGGGCACATGAAAACTTTATTTTTTGTTTAGAAAACTATTTGTTAGATGGACGAATAACAAGTTTGAAGTGAAACCGCCAAGTCATGAATCTACTATAATTGCAAAAATGTGTTAATGGAAGTAGTATAAAGGTAGGGCCTTTCAATGGAAAAATTACAGAAATTATGCATAAGTTCACTGCTTGTAGATGCAGGCCACCCATTAGAATGAAGGAAGAAAAACAGTTGCCTATGGCTAAGTATCAGAAATGCTTGTGATGGACGAATAACAGTTTCTGTAGTGGGCTGAGGGCTAAGGATAGTCATTTTGCATGGATTGCATATTTAGATTGCACCATAGATATTATTTCAAAATGTGACATTCCCTGCTTTCTAATTCTTTGTTGTTGCCTGAACTATTGTCCCAGTTTGAATGCCACTGACTTTCTGGAGAGACTGCGAGGGCAGAGATTGGTCTTTGTTGGGGATTCGTTGAACAGAAACATGTGGGAATCTCTTGTTTGCATCCTTCGCCATAGTGTCTCAGACAAGAAAAGTGTTCATGAGATATCTGGAAAAACAGAATTTAAAAAGAAAGGTTTCTATGCATTCAGATTTGAGGTAAGCTTTCTAACTTATCAGTGATTAAAAAAGGATTTTTTCTCCCTTTGTATCTGAGTTTTGGTTCCTTCCCTTTTCTCCAGGATTATAATTGCTCAGTGGATTTTGTCAGTTCTCCTTTTCTTGTTAGAGAATCAACATTCAATGGTAAAAATGGTTCCTTTGAGACATTGAGATTGGATTTGATGGACAAATCAACTTCAATGTATTATGATGCTGATGTTCTGGTTTTTAACACGGCTCACTGGTGGACTCATGAGAAGACCTCTAAAGGGTTAGTAAATCTATCCCTCTCCTCCCACACCGGAAATCCCTTTCCATATATTATCTTCTTTAATGCTCGATTCATCTAGACTTTATTGTAAGTTTCTTTCACTCAAGAAACCCAGAGAACTTACATTTCTGAAATCTTGAATAAATAAGCCACCTGACAAGTCATGATGAGGAGATTTGGAAGGAATTTAGAATTTTTGACTTTGGAAATGCATGTTTTGCATCAAAATCTCATAATATGTGCAATTCTTCCCCGCACCTACAAACTTCCCCTGGAACATGAGAGCAAAAGGAAGGGAAGAGAAATTCAACTTATTTATGCTGATTACAATCTGAACCTCTTAGCTGGGTTTATGCATCTTGTTGTTCTTTAGGGAAGACTATTATCAAGAAGGTAATCATGTGCATGGAAGACTGAAGGTCCTAGAAGCATACAAGAGGGCTCTTCGCACATGGGCTAGGTGGGTGGATAAGAGCATAGATAAAACAAGAAGTCAGGTTGTATTCAGAGGATACTCGGTAATGCATTTCAGGTATGAATGTTTATTATCTTCTCTGCCTTCACAAACTTGTCATATTTGGACTCTAATGCTTATTTCAGCTCTTTATAGGACTAAAACTCTGGCTCTTCATTATCAAACTACAATGTAAATTGCTTTGAGGTTTCATGCTCCTTGCTGCTTGGACTAAATGGATGTATTGCTAAAACTTATAATAATATGATACAAAATATTCATTATAACCTGCACAATAGTAATAGAAGAGCTAACTCATAGCCTTGGGAGTCCTCAGTAGTGGAAAAATCTGTGTGTCTATGGTTGAATAAGCATTTTTAGAATCTTAACAATATCTGATAATTGGACCTCTGGCAGACATTTTGGATGCATGCAGATGTAGTTTGTGAAAATTATTTTCTGACACTCAACAAGCAAGAGAATCAAGGTTCATGTACGTTGTTCTTGATAATGTGTTGAATGCCAATGGTTAGTTTCTCGTATGATCATATGACTGTTAATTCTCAGATTTTCTTTTGCCTATTTATTTTGAATTTGAAAGTTTTATGGATTCCCAAACCCTTTTCGTCCTCCAGAGTACTACAACTAAACGTTTATGTGATTCCCAAAGGAT